TTTAAATCGTCCTTATGAAAAAACAAAATTTGATGAAGAATTATTACCCTCCTCCTTCTTTGAAACCGTCCCACAAAGACCATAGCCCAAAACCAAAGAACAACAATGTTGTTATGTGATGAGTCCATTTGCGAGAGATCTGAAAGTGAGGGTTTGAATCAGCATTTAGTAAGAGATTGTCATAAAAGGAACTAGTCCAGGTAATATGGAAAAGGCTTATGTCGAACTACCATACCAGATTTGGAGCAGCCCATCCAAGAGTAGCAGAGAGGATAGTCATGACCTATAATTTTAGTATAGACATGAACTTCCAAATCTGAGAGAGAGGTCACGTATAACAAATACTCAAAAGTCAAAAGGACTCGGATAAACTTACAATCAGGGCAGATAGACAACCAGCCAACACAAGTCTCCTAGGATAACGCATAGCCAAAATCTGATATAACAAAAAAAAGAGATTAAGCTTGCAAATCAAGATAACAACAGAAGTCTCTAACACACCTTCAAGGAGACTGTAGTAGATTATAAACTACCAAAACACTATGAAATTTTAGAATTAGATAAAAGAAACCATGAGCTTGCTAGAAGAACAAAGGATCTAAAGATGCCATCTAGATTCCCAATTAGGAAAAGACAATCAAATGAACAGGAATTTAGACTTCGATTCATGTTAGAGCCATTGACTTCGTCGACCTTAAAACCCCTAAGAGACTAAAGCGAAGAGGAACACTTACAGCTGCAGCGAAAAACGTCTTGTCACCAATCTCCGATACAAACGTCAAAGCAAGTGACTTCGTAAAACCCTATAAAACCCATCAATCATAAACCCAGATTAGCTCCACTCACGATCCGTGAAAGAAAATCGAGGTTCCTTCTCTGAAAACATATATCTTTTACTCTACCTGCAAAACCGAGCTCATGGCTGCCGAATTATAAGATCGACAGCGAATCAGCTACGAAGGAGAAGGAAAAAAAACGAAACTTTCGATCTTTCTCCGGCTGTTACAAAGACGACGGAGTGATATATCGCCGGAGTTAGCAAACAGTCGTCGATAGAAAGAGAAGAGACGAACACTCGCTGAAGAGCTAAAGATGAATCATTTTTTTTGGGGATTGGAGGTGAATTTGATTCTGATTCTTTAACCCTTGAGATCTTGCCACGTAGATAAATAACAACCAACGATTTTTGATGTGTGGGTCCCAGAAAACCCAACTTGAGTTAATTTTGAGTTTGCGTCACTTGCTCGAGCAAAACGATTAGAGACTTTAATTTCTTTGATACCTTGTCGCGATCACGATTGAGACGTCACATTGAGAATATTATAACACGTAAGTTTTTGAAAGATTCTCAAATCTGATTGGAGATTAGAATGTTTCGCTAATCTCAACTCAATTTAATTTTGTTTTATCCTACTACCTATTTTATACAGAAATAGAAATTGACCGATTTCTCATTGGTGATCAATTGATTCGCAACCGTACGTAATTTTATTTGATTTGATCCAACTCCACTTATTTTAATCCGATTTTATCTAATTCTAAAATTAATGAAATAACTAAAATCAGGTGCCGATATTGTAAAATAACGTTGCTAAATCCAAAGGTCAAATTGAACTAGAATTTATAGTTTAGAATTAGGCAGCAAGGTTAATGAGTTAATGTAGTAGACTTGGAGTGTAAAAGGGCCCAAACATTCAAGTACAAAGCCTAAATAAGAGTAACCCACAGGCCCATGAGGAAACAAGACTTCACATTTTTTAATTTTTAGGTTAGCATATTTCCTCCACATTGTTAATATGATATGCATATGTATGTTTTTTTTGTTGTTGTCAGAATGCATATGTATGTAATTGGTTTAGAGTTATATCTTTTTCACTTTCTTAGATTCATTGTTTAATATCATACGCTTTATAGACATAGGTCTGGATTAAATGAAATAAGTGAGCTGTTAAATGGAAAGTCATTAACAAAGCTAAGCGCATTGGCAAATTTGTCAAAGTGCAAAGATGAGAAACACTCAAAAGTGGCGGACTTTAATCTAAAACAAGAATCTCCACACTAAGCGCATTGAGATCATAAAACAAGTTTATTTAAATCCTCACACTTAAAGACGATGAAGAAACCTCCTCTTCCTCTTTAACCATTTATCTAATCTTTGGATTAGTTCTTCAAGAGATATATAAATCTCCTCGAAAACTGCAAAACCCCAAAACACAGCTTGTCTTTGTTTTAATTAAAAGAAGCTTTTGTCTCATTTTCCCTTCCCCACCAAACACACTTTTGTCTTCTCTTTAATAACTTCTTTCACTTCATCTTCTCCACTGTTAACGGTCGGAAACTAAAAAATGTCTCCTCCTCACTGCTCCTTCCTCTTCTTCTTCGTCTTCTTCCTCACTTCACACTCTTTTGTTTTCTCCAGAATCTTACCAAAGACCTCTGTAACCACTACCTCAATTCTCAATGTCGCCGACTCCATTCACAGAACTAAGTATACGTCGTCGTTTCGATTAAACCAGCAAGAAGAACAGACTCACTCTCGTTCTTCCTCTTTCAGCTTGCAGCTTCATTCACGAGTTTCCGTCCGTGGAACTGAACACTCAGACTACAAGTCTCTAACACTAGCCAGACTCAACCGTGACACAGCCCGAGTCAAGTCTCTCATAACTCGTTTAGATCTAGCCATCAACAACATATCCAAAGCGGATCTCAAGCCAGTTACCACAATGTACACTACTACTGAGGAGGAAGATATCGAAGCTCCTTTAATCTCCGGCACGACTCAAGGAAGCGGCGAGTACTTCACACGCGTCGGTATCGGAAACCCGGCGCGTGAAGTCTACATGGTTCTCGATACTGGAAGTGACGTTAACTGGCTACAATGCACTCCTTGCGCTGATTGTTACCACCAAACCGAACCAATCTTCGAGCCATCGTCGTCCTCTTCTTACGAGCCTCTCTCTTGTGACACTCCACAGTGTAATGCCCTTGAAGTCTCAGAATGTAGAAACGCCACGTGTCTTTATGAGGTTTCCTACGGTGACGGTTCTTACACCGTCGGAGATTTCGCCACCGAGACTCTTACAATCGGCTCAACTTTAGTCCAAAACGTCGCCGTTGGATGTGGACACAGCAACGAAGGGTTGTTCGTCGGCGCCGCCGGTTTGCTCGGACTCGGCGGTGGTTTGCTGGCTCTTCCGTCGCAGCTTAACACGACGTCGTTTTCGTACTGCCTTGTTGACCGTGACTCAGACTCGGCTTCAACCGTTGAGTTCGGGACTTCTCTTCCTCCTGACGCCGTCGTGGCTCCGTTGCTACGTAATCACCAGCTCGACACGTTTTACTACCTAGGCCTCACCGGAATAAGCGTTGGCGGCGAGTTGCTTCAGATTCCTCAGTCTTCTTTCGAGATGGACGAGTCAGGAAGTGGTGGGATCATCATCGACTCAGGAACCGCCGTGACTCGTCTCCAGACCGGAATCTATAACTCTCTTAGAGACTCGTTCTTGAAAGGGACGTCGGACTTGGAAAAAGCTGCCGGAGTGGCCATGTTCGATACGTGTTACAATCTTTCTGCTAAGACGACGATAGAAGTCCCGACGGTGGCTTTTCACTTCCCCGGCGGGAAGATGTTAGCTTTGCCGGCGAAGAATTACATGATTCCGGTAGACTCGGTGGGGACTTTTTGTTTGGCGTTTGCACCGACGGCGAGTTCGCTAGCGATCATTGGAAACGTGCAGCAACAAGGGACACGTGTCACGTTCGATTTGGCAAATTCTCTCATTGGATTCTCGTCTAATAAATGCTAAGCTGTTTTTTTTTTTTATAATATATTTGAGTGACAATGAAAAGGAAAAGTCGTCACTTAAAGCTAAATGTTAAATTAGAGTACTGTTTGGTTTTGTTTGTTTCTTGTTCTTGTTGTTTGCAACTTTGCATAGAGTGAAAAAAGAGTAAAAAAAGATGGAATTTGTTTTTGTTAATTTTATGATCAAAGAGTAATACTACACAATGAACCCTTGAGGGGCCTTGTTACAGGTCAATTTTCTGTGACGTTGAGAGTTAAAGCCCAAATACAATGTGTGATCGAAGAAGTTAAGCCCAAAAATATGCTAAATGTGAAACAAAATAACATCTTTGAAAAACAAGAAACGAATGGTTGTAAAATAATCTCTTATGATCAAGAAATTGTAATCCCTAGACCCTAGTACTAACTATATGAAACAAAGAAAAACTGATATGTTAATGGAAGATGAATTACACTTAACTTAAATGTTTGGTTACCTTATGCTCTGTTTTTCTTTTGTGATTAATAATGTTTGGCGATTTTATTCGATACACAAATAAACTCTAGTCATATTCTATTGAATATATTTTTTAACAAGAGTAACATGGCACAAAGAGATTTTGCCCAAAAGAGAAAAGAGAAAAACATGGCACAAAGAGAGTTGGCGAAGTCATGGTGCCACTACTTGCCATCACAAGAAATGAAGTGGCAGCTATGGGTTCAATCATTTTGTCCTTAAAAAAACAAAGCTTTATTATTTTCTTTCTCCTTTTTCTATGTCAACCTTTTACTTTCTCCTTTGTTCATCCAAAAACATGCTACAAATAAAACCTATGCCATAAGAGCAAAAAAACCTGGAAAATTTCAATGATTTTGAACAAACATGAGGAATATTTTCCAGCATTAAAAGAGTTGTATATTCTTTTGACCGGTCCTTTTAAATATCTAACTATTTCTTACATACGTGAGGTCTACAATGCATAAAGTACATCAAACATTTACCATAGGTAAAAGTTATAATTTTGAATCTTGGATATTATCCGACAAAAAAATTACCATGCGTCTCTACAATGCAGGTATCACATATTTAAATTTTGATTTCTATAACTGAACAAAAATCATGTATGAGTAGTAGTTGCATTATGGTTCCTTTTTAAATAATAATCAGAAATAAAGCAATGATCCAAAAAAAAAAAAAAAAAACGTGAATAGTTACGGAGGGAGAAAGTGTGGTCTGAAAACGACCACTGCAAAAACTATCTTCGCTTGTTATCCAATAAAAAGAAAGAAGACGAAGAAGAAGAAGAACCGCTCTGACAAAACTTCTTTGCCTCACTCTCTCCTCTGATCATTTTTCATATCTTGACTCTCATAAACCCTTTCTTTGATTCACGTTTTCCTTTTCTTTTATCTCTCATTGACTATTCGCCCTCGTATCTCTCTCTCTCAACTCTTGTGATATTTATTCAAAGATGCTTCCATGAAATTTGGTTCTGCTCAGTGAATCTTCTCTTCTTACTCCATCATGAGTGACTCCACTAACAGCGTCTCTCCTTCCTCTGATTACGCCTCCATCTCCTCCGGCGACCAGGTTTTTCTCAGTTTCGATCTGGGTTTTTGAATTTTCCGACGAATCTCTTTCTCTTGTAAATTTATGTACAAGCGAAGTTGTTTTGAGAATCCCTTTCTGGGTTTTGTTTTTTAGAACATTTCGTTTCATAAAGTCATTTCCTTTACGAGTGGGATCTTGATGAACTCACATCTGGATTTGTTTCTTACATGTTAAGAGTGGGATTGGTTACTTTGGCTTTGTAACTTAAATCACGGGTCAGTCGCAAAGTTTTTTCTTTTTAGTAGGAAACTTGTGTCTTGTGTGAGTTTGATCACTTTATGTATTTGCATTGTACTGATACGAAGTTTCAGGGTCGTTGCTTATGTTAAAGAATAGTTTTTGTTGGTCTCAGACTCGTCCACGATGTTAATTTTGAGTGAACCAGTCATAGGCAACCAACGTTTTCATTTTGATTTGCAGAGTCTTCAGCGGAGTCGAAGGAGTGGAGATGGAAACCGAGCCATTGTCCGTGAGTCTCGCCACTGGCATGATGTATTCTGGTCAGCTATCTTTGTGATCCACATGATTTGTTTGGGATTTGTGCTCGCCGTGCTTGGACTCAATAGGTTTAGAATATCAGATAGGTTAAACATCGATAGGTACACTCAAGGGTTCTTGGAGAATCATAAAGGTCTGACTGAGGATTACTGGCCTCTCTATGCTGTTGCTGGTGGGATTGGAGTCTTTATCAGTTGGGTTTGGTCATTGCTGCTTGGCTCTTACGCCAATGAGATGATGAAAGTTTCGGTTCACATCTTGACAACCTATCTAGCTGTAGTTAGTGTACTGTGTTTCTGGTGCAGACAGTTCTTTTGGGGCGGTGCATTCGCTGTTGGAGCTCTGTTACAGTTCTTGTATGTTATTTCAGTTATAGACAGGTGCGTGCAAGGTTGAATATGATTGAACCGCTATGGTCAAATGGCGACAACTTTTTAATTCTGATGATTCGAGTTGTTCATGTGTAGACTTCCCTTCACGATGCTTGTTCTGCGGAAAGCGCTGAAATTAGTTTGGGGACTTCCTAAGGTGATAATGGTGGCACATGCTTTCACAGTAGTAATGCTTTTGTGGATGTCTCTATGGTCTTTTGGAGCAGCTGGTGTTGTGGCATCGAGCATGGGTGATGAGGGACGATGGTGGCTTCTTGTGGTGAGCTGGCAAGTTTTGCATTTTTCCTTACGGTTTCTGTTTTCTTCTAGGGTCTGAAAGTAAACATGTTTAGATTTCATTCAATCATTGGAGCAGATAATATATTTGCAGGTTCTTTCGGTTAGCTTATTCTGGACAGGCGCTGTGCTATGTAACACTGTCCATGTTATAGTTTCTGGGATGGTGTTTCATGTTCTCTTTCACTGTGGTCAAGAAGAGTCATCATCGGTACCTCCTAGCTCTTTGATAGACTCACTTAGGTATGCAGTGACAACATCATTTGGGAGCATATGTTACGGGTCACTCTTCACTGCTGCCATTAGAACACTTCGCTGGGAGGTAGTCTCCAGCTTCCTTTGCTGTCCGTAAAACATTATCGTTGCTCGACTTCTTGATAAAATTGGTCTGCAACATTCTTTTGCAGATAAGGGGATTCCGGTCCAAGATTTGTGGAAACGAATGTCTACTTTGCTGTGTTGATTTCCTGTTTCATCTAGTTGAAACTCTAGTCCGGTTTTTTAACAAGTATGCATACGTCCAGGTACATAAATATGGACAGTTTTTTTAACGAGATCATCATCTCCCTCCTATGAGCAATGAGACTCAAAATGAAATAACTTTTGGTTAATTATCAGATTGCGGTGTATGGAAAAGGATTTAACAAATCAGCAAGAGACGCGTGGGAATTGTTTCAGTCGACAGGTGTAGAGGCACTTGTTGCATATGACTGCTCTGGTGCTGTACTTCTGATGGGAACCATCTTTGGAGGACTCATCACAGGCTCTTGCATTGGTATATGGGCTTGGATCAAGTACAGTGACCGAGTTATAATGGTTGCATCTACGGCTATGTTGATGGGAATGGTTCTTGTGAGTTTTCTTTTGTGCACTCTTTAGTCACACACAAAATTACATGACCAAACTGTTCACTTTGTTTCATTGGTCCAATGTGGTTTTCAGGTGGGTTTAGGAATGGTGGTAGTGGAGAGCGCGGTGACGTCAATATACATATGTTTTGCTGAAGATCCTTTGTTGATTCAAAGATGGGATGCTGATTTCTACACTGAGATGTCTGAGGTGCTTCATCGCCGTCTCCAACATCGTAGCTCTCGAGCCCGTGAAGTTTCGACTACCGCTTGATTAGCCCATGCCTCTTGGAAAATAGGAGATATAACTGTAGAATATTATGCTATTAGAGGGTGCTAAAAGCGGCCTAACCCGTCTGGCTAGAACTATTTTGTCAAATGATTTATGCTTTCCATTTGCTAAAATCTAATATATTGATTTTGTGTTTAGTAGAAAAACAAAATCAATGGAAAAGAACAAAGTTAGTTAAGAAAGGATGGATCAAGTTTAAACCAAACAAAGCCACACGCATTTCACTCTTATCTTTCCAAAGTAGAAAAGGAATCAGTCTAATATAACCACTACAACATCATCAACGTTCGAGACCCATAAATCTGAGACATAGTTATGGCTATAAAAAATCTATCATACATAGTTGTTGCACAAAAATACAAATTTCTAATAAACTTATTTAAGAATAGGCAAGGCAATACATATGAACATTTGTCCAAATTTAAATATTTAACTATTCGTCAGATCACAAAGAGAATAATAGTGTTAGCATTAGTAAACTAAGAAGAATGTATAAAGCTTGGAACAATAGAAAATGTAAGAAAGGGAATACAATTTTACTAACAAATATAGTTGCAGTTCATAGCCAGCAACCAAAATGGCGTTTTACACAAAACAAACCAAATAAACTGCAGAAAGAACACGAATAAGAAACTTAACTTAACGATCATACATATGAAAAAAAATCAATTCAGGATTGTGCTGCTGTGGTACCATCGATGGAATTAAGCGCTTGGTTTGCAAAATAGCGAACATCAACATCAGGGTCTTCGCTAAGGTCTACCAAACACTGACGGATTGTTTTGTCCACCACCTACAAATTTTTGACACGGCAAAAAACATTAATGTTCAACAATCTCCATTACTTTTTGATATAATTGAGTTAGATTTGTTTTGATCTTACTGATTGGTCGACTATGGGGATGAGGGATTGCAGAAGTTTTGCAACATTGAACTTGATGTTTGGAACTCTGCAGAGATTAGATATGTGCAGTAACACATTAAAAGCTAAGAAAGTGTTCTTAAAGTAGTTTGGCTAATTCATACCCTCTAATCTATCTATCGTACCTGTCTTTTGATGCTTCAACGACCACAGGAAGAAACTTAGAGCATGTGATTTCTGATCCCATTACAGGAGCCATGAGAGATATTGCACGTAGAACCATCATCCTATGTAGGTAGTGCGGATTGTTGACCATGTCCAATACCTGTTTAGATTATAAAGGGCCAATCTGGAAATCTCAGTATATGCTAGCGATTTCAAAGAAATTGAACCAAAGATGGAGATTAGATGTTATAGGCGTGTTACTGGACATAGATCAACAATAAGATAATCAGACAGAAGGTTTTCGTATAAAATGCTCAACGAATACCTGGGGAACTAAGTGCTGCATTGCCCATTCAGGACCAAACTCCTCTGCGAGGCGCTTTAGGTTGTTTGCTGCAGCTTCACGGATAGAGTAGACCTGAAGGAAGAGAACAATGTCAATATCCACAAGTGGATGAGAAATTTATGCGAACATCAATGATTCAAAATCAAGGATTCAAAGTAAACCTTGTCTTGCAGCCATTGCATGCAAAGGGCTCCAAGCTTGTCATCGAAAAATCCTATACCTAACTGGCTGGCCAACAGAGGAACATACTCTATTATCGCAAGTCGGACTCTCCAGTGCCGATCCTCAGCAAGCTCCACAATGGCCGGTAACAAGGATTGAGATAGTAGATCAATTCCAATAACCTGCCGTAAAAGATAATTCAGTCACCAACTAAATACGGAAGCAATAAAAGTAGCTAAATCTAAAGAACACAAGAGAGACGCAACAAACCTGGTTGACTTGATCTAACTTGCTTATGATGTTGAGGCGCACATCAGGAAATTCATCTTTCAGAAGGGAAAGAAAAATTGGTAACAGATGCTCAATGGTTGAGTCCTGTATTGAAATTTTTTAGTATGTTAATACTTTTTTGATAAGGTATGCAACATCTGTTGAAGCTGGTATAGCCACGCCATAACACATGGTGTGGCTGATTTTGTTGATGAAAACCATAAAAGCAAATTAAAGCTCAGAAAATAATCACAAGATACGAAATTGTTGGCTATCTTCAGTTCGTACCTTCCCAAGGATAGGAGCCATCCCCATTATTACTGAAGCTAGAGCAGAGCGGACATGTTGAGAAGAATCAGATGATAATTCCTGCCAGATATGAGTTCGAATTAGAATATTACGAGACAGGGGACATCAAACAGCTCGTTTATATGAAATTTAAGGAGTTTTAATCAGCAGAGATAATGTACCTTCACGCAAGGAAGGATGTGCTGAATCGCAAGCTCTGGATTCAAAAGCCGACAGAACTTGGTCACTTTTCCCGCTGCTGCTATTCGCACTTCAGCCTCATTGTCCCTTAGCAATCTCACATATGCTGGAACCAAATCCGTCCTAGAGATATTACAACATAAATTTTGTGTCAAAATAAAAGGATACAAGTACAAACATAGAACTACCATACAAGGTTCTTACAACGAATCAGAATAACGAAAACTTCCAATAGACGCTATTAGATGTATATTTGTTTGATGGTCATAAAACTGTTTTACGAGAAAGAAAGCCTACATTAGCAAGGATGAAAAAAAAAAATTCCACAATGTCACAAAACACATACCTCGTGCAATCAGGACCCACTGCCTCACAAAGTTCATATAGCTGATTAGCAACCATGTAGCGCACCCTCCAAGATTTATCCTGCTCTCAGAAAACAATAAAAACCCCATAGAAAAATATCAGAACAGCAAGCTTTTACCAATGAAAACTAAACATGCACTAGCAGACCATTTACTGAAAAATCCATGAATGAAAAAACAAAGCTCAATTCACCTGAGAGAAATTAACAATAACAGGTAAAATGCGTGCAACACAATCCTGAGGTTCCAGCAACTTTCCAAGAGCTGCACACCCTTCAACAGCCAATAGTCTCACAGAATCTTGGTCTGAAATGAAGGTTAAAGTTTGAACAATATAAGCACAGATAAAACAAACGTTTCTGAAAAGGTACGTATCCAGTATAACTGGTTTTTTCATCAAACCGTGTTTCATAATTTAAATATGATCTCTTTACCATGCTCTGGGGTCTATGCAAACTATTTCTAAGTGATGAGCACATATAGTAAGACATAACATATTTCAAGAATTAAGTACCATCTTTAGTAAGATCATCAAACATAGTCATGATCTCGGCAATCAAAAACGTAGACTCCACAGTTGTAGCAAATTTCCCCAGGTTAGATGCAGCCGCTCTTCGCACCATAGGCATATCATCTTGGCACAACTGGCTATAAGTAGCCCGTAACTCTGTCTTCAACACATCAGTGCAACCTTGGTATGCAACATGAAATATACCACATGCAGAAACTCTTGCTGCAAACCATTCACCAGCTGCTAGTCTCTACAAGACAAACAACAGAACAAAAAAAATAAGCTCTGATCGAGCGAACTAATAAAAAGGCATAATTTACTGCTACATAAATCTCCTTATCTAACCTTCACAAGAGGGACAAATGATTCAACAAGATCATTCTCTTTCATTTGAGATCCGATCTTACAAAGCGATTCCACAGCTTTTTCTCTCACACAAGTCTCTTCAACAGTACAGAGAGATTCCAAAGGAGGAAGAAGAACATGCGCATACTCAATTCCTCCGACAAACGGAATAAAAACTCCCAATTCCTCAGCCATTGCGAGAAGCACCTCATCGTCATCATCACTATTCTCACTCAAAAAAGGGATTAATTCCTTCCTTGTACGCTCCTCACCAAGGGCACGAGCTATAGTAGATAAGCGACGGATCGAGTTCAAACGAAGCTGAATATCATCATTTTTAAGCTCATCTATGAGCACAGCAATGGGATACAACGGTTCATCTACCATAGCCATCTTAAAATCCACCTTATGTGAAAGTTCGAATCAAGTCACTGCAATACATCACCAAAATAATTCCTATGAGCTCTTGCTATAAGAGACCAAACAATAGATTTCGGATCTCGATTAAAATATTTAGAAATAAATACGATTAATCATTTCCAGATCCTGGGAAAAAAAAACTATGGCCACTCGATTGTTAGCTTCGGCTTTATCGATTTTTCTCTACTTGCACAAAAAAGATTAAGAAAATATCGCAGATTTTGAAATGAATCTGGTGTGAATAAAACAGAAGAAGCGAGAAACGGCCTCAGATTCACTGGTTCGAAGTTAGATTAAAGGGAATGTGAATCGGAAAATGAAGATTAAGAGATGAGATCTTATGATGCGTAAGAAGAAACTGGAAAATCATCTTACCGATCCAGGCGTCGTAGAAGAGCTGCTTCTTCAGATTCCGATGGGCGAGAAAAGGTGAGAAAGAGGAATTGCGAGCGAGAAAAATAATATTCTCCGTTTGATTTTTACGATGGATTTTAGAAGACATAAAATGACAAAAAAATTGCTGATTGGGCCCTATTGGGCTTTCTTGTGCTTGCTATTAATCTTTCTTTTTTTGACAAAAAAACAATTCGTTTTAATAAAATAATCAAACAGTTGATTCAATTGATACAAATCATACAATGAAAGAAAAAAAAAAATCTGAGAACAAAACTTTCCAGTTGAGTTTATGACATGCCAAAAAAAAAAAAAAGGAATTAGGAACTTATTTCAAGACAAACAGAGAAAATATATATTTAATTGTCTATACAAAATCAACTATATCACCACAAGATTAACTGCAAATGCTTCTGTTAATCCCTGGAGCTGAAGCAGCTACTGAATCTGGTCCACAATCCAGCTTTTTCTATGTCCTTCTGTGTCTCGCTAACTTGTTCTTTGAAATCGGCTTTAGTGCTTAGCTCCTCAAACGCGTTAACAATATTCTGGAGCCTTGCAACAAACTCGATCAAAAGAGACGCAAATGTGGCTAGCGACAAAGAACTCGCGCTTTCATATACTTTGGATTCTATCTCGTTGATCATAGAACCACCTATGAATGAGACGCTTGGCCAGTTTTCGCGGTTCCTAAGCATCATACTCTCTGTTGAAATCCATAGCTGAGAATCATTACCAGCGTGTGGATTCTGATGATGATGGTTGTTGTTATTGTCCCAAATCTGGCTGAGGGATTGGATCACTTTGGA